CCCGCGGACGCTGCTCCGCGCTGCCCATCGCGGCCCGGGCTGCTCCGCGCGCGCTGCCGCGTCCCGCCGCCGCTCTGTGCCGAGCCCCCGCGGACAGAGCCCCGGCGCCGCCGCTACCCGCAGAGCTGCGGAGCGGCCCCCTCGGCCGCGCTGGGGACTCCGGGGGTCGGTGCCCGGCCTCGCTCGGGGTCGGCAGCTCCGCTGCCCGCCCCGCAGCCGTGCTGGGGACTTCTCGGTCCCTTTGTTTTTCTTCGCTCGGCGAAAAGCGAGTCCCGGGGGGCCATAGACGGGACTCGCGCGTGTGCGGCAATGAAGTCGGAGCTTGGCCCCTGGCTGCTGCCTCGGCAGCCCCGACTGGGCTTTGTGCGCGAGGGCCGCGCAGCCCTTTGTTGTCCCCGCACGCAGGGACCCTCTCGGCAGCCTCCATCTGTCCCCGGGACAAGAAGCCCCCGAGCTCAGTGACAGGGTCTGAGGTGGGACAGGAGCGACAAGCGGCTGCATCCGCAGGGTTTGTGTTGCCCAACAGCAAAAGAGGGGGGTCAGGAGAACAGCACAAATGTTACATGTTTTGCAAAATAGACCTCGGCTCTGACACAGAATAGCTTGGATGTTAAACTGAATTTGGTGATTGAAGTGCAAATTTACATCCCAGCCTCAAGGAAAGCTCCTGGTGAGCAAAGAAGCATCTAGATAAAGTCATCTAAAATGATGAAAACAAAACAATATTTTTTCCATCAGAGTGAGCCACTCCTAATCAAGGGAGGCAAAGTCGTCAACGATGATCAGTCGTTCTACGCAGACATTTTAGTGGAGGATGGCCTGATAAAGTAAGTGAAAAGCCCGTGTTTCACCAGGCTGTTTCCACGGGGGCTGTGGTGCCCCTTAGCGTGGCCAGGGTGCCCGCTGTGGTGCTGGCAGGCGCTGTGTCCCACCGGCGCTGTCCTTGCAGGCAGGTCGGGGAGCAGCTGCAGGTGCCCGTCGGCACCCACACGCTGGACGCCTACGGGCAGCTGGTGCTGCCGGGGGGCCTGGACCCGCACACGCGGCTGCGGGCGCCGGGGATGGCGCCAGCCGACGACTTCCAGCGCGGCACCGAGGCGGCGCTGGCAGGCGGCACCACCATGATCAGTAAGGGGCATCGGGGAGATGGGCCCCGTTCTGGCTGCGCTGCGGGCGGCTCCCGCATCCCCTTTTGTGGCGCAGCCTGGAGCAGCTCTTGGTGCCACTGATGCCCTCCTGTCCCTGCAGTCGAACACGTGCTGCCGGAGCCGGGCACCGCGCTGCTGGACGCCTACGAGCGCTGGCGCGAAGCTGCTGCCAGCCAGGCCTGCTGCGACTACGCGCTGCACCTTGATGTCCCCCGCTGGCACGAGGGCCTTGCCGAGGAGCTGGAGGCCCTGGTCAAGGACAAGGGTACGGTCTGTGCCCCCTGCCATGCTGCGAGTTAACGCGCTGTGGTAATGCTCCGTTTCCCTGCTTGCAGCTACATGCACAGAGCTGTGGTGCTACTGTGGGTCTTGCAAGTGACAGCTTAATCAGTCAATTAATGCTAAAATTTGCAGTGATTTCCCTGTTCCCAGAGCTTAAAGCAAGCATTTCCACATGCACATTCCCATGAAATGCAGGTAATTTGCTGTAATTCTGCATCGCTATTGCCCTTGCCCATGTAATACAGTCACGATGCCTTCTGCGCCTGTTTTTTTGTGAGGTATGGGGAGCTCAGGCAATGCGCAGGGGGTGCCTGTGGTGTCACCCAAGGCCGCGTTTCCAGCGATCAGTGATGCAGGCCGACATCCTCAGCCCCCGAGCCGCTCCCATGCGCACCGATCTCACCAGGGTCTCCTTGGCAGGGGTCAACTCCTTCCTGCTCTTCATGGCCTACAAGGACAAGCTGCAGTGCTCTGACGCGCAGGTGAGGGCGGGCAGGGCCGCGGCGCCCCTCCCCAGCCCGCTGCGGGGCTCATGCCCTTTCTGCCCCGCAGATGTACGAGATCTTCAGCGCGCTCCGAGACCTTGGAGCCATTGCCCAGGTGCACGCTGAGAACGGCGACATCATTGACGAGGTAGAGCATTAAATCCCTGCAGAGCGGGGTTCATGCCGGGACCCGGGCTGAGGGCGAAGCGTTGCCATCGACAGACGGGCTATGACCACCTGGTGGGAGGGGGCAGGGCCCTTTCACATCTATTTTCTGCTGCAAATTGGCTGGGGATCGGGGCACATCAGGTGGAGAAAGTGCTTGGTGCGGCGGCGCAGCGGTGCATGCGTGCAGCGGTGTGTGCATGCCGCAGTGCATGCAGCGGTGCGCACAGCGGTGTGTGCAGTGATGTGCGCTCCTGCTTGCAGCCGTGTCGGCCCCGCACAACGGGAGCGCAGCCGCAGCCGCCCACGTGTGGCCGGGGCTTTGGCGCGCGGCGCTGGCGGATTACAGCGCTGCGGGGGCGGGAGGCAGGACCCGCGGGGCCGCGAGGCCCCCCAGGGCTTGTGCACACTCGCCTCTCATTGCAGGCACCCTGCAAGGGCCATTCTGTAGCTCGCACGCTGACAGAAGCGGTGTTTTATCCCTGTATTTCCCATTCTCAGGATTCCTGTGTGTGTTTTATTGAAGTTAGAGAGCACTGGTGCTGCTGAAGCAGTGCTTACCTCGCCATGTGAGCAGAGAACTCATGCTCATTGCTTTTACCTCTAACAGGTGTTACCTGTACCCCAGAAACAGATGATAGAAGGTGGTGTTAGACTCGTGGTTGTTTCTAGCCATGGTCACTTGCAGGCCGGGGTTAGGTGAGAGAAGGGTGTAAATTGAGAGCAACTCCCAGCCCGGCAGCAGGCGTGTTCAGCGGGTGAGAGTGAGCCAGCGGGGCAGCCCCGTCCCTGTTCTGTCCTGTCCCTGTCCTGTCCCTGGCCCCATCCCTGTCCTCATCCCCATCCCCATCCCCGTCCCTGTGCCCATCCCCGTCCTGTCCGGGGTGTCCGCCCCGTCCCGCGGACGCTCCTCGCAGGGCCGTGTCCGCGCGGTGCACGCGGCCCCTCCGCGCCGCTCACGGCCTCTCGCGCTGGTGCCGCGCTCAGGAGCAGAGGAGGCTGCTGGAGCTGGGCGTCACGGGCCCCGAGGGACACGTGCTCAGCCGCCCGGAGGAGGTAATTGCCGTCGGCACCGGCACTCACTCACTCGCGGCCCCTGGGCGCCGAGCAGCTCGCGAGGCGGCCCCTTTGCTGCACAGGTAGAGGCGGAGGCCGTGTTCCGCGCCGTGACCATCGCGCGCCAGGCCAACTGCCCCCTCTACGTCACCAAGGTCATGAGCAAGGCGGCAGCCGATGTGCTGGCGCGTGCCAAGAGGAAGGGTAAGAGAGCGCAGTGCTCACCCGCCAGCGAGGAGCGCGGCTGGTACCCCGGGCACGACAGAGAGTGCCAGGCCAGGAGCCTGTGTTTTCCTTACAGATTTGTGTTCCCCACACAAGTTAGGGCCACAGAGACCATTATGGGATGGGAGGCTGCTCGAGTGACAGGGCCTGGGGGTTCAGCCAGGCTGGGCTCCTCAGGGTGAGCAGGGAGGTGCCTGTGGGCTGGGGCACCCGCTGAGGTGCAGGAGAGAGCAGGAGACATTCCTGGCTGTGAGCGTGGTCGGCCCTGGAGCGTCGTGTCCGGGGAGGCTGTGGAGCCTCCACCCTTGGAGAGGCCCAACCCGACTGGACCCAGTCCTGGAGCACGGGCTGCTGCAGGGGACCCTGCTGGGAGCTGAGAGCCCGACAGCGCCGGGGACGGGCGCATGCAGCGGCCGTGCCTGCGCGGGGCGGCACTGGCTGCACCTCACGGCTCCGGCTGCTGCGACCCTGCAGGCGCCGTCGTCTACGGGGAGCCCATCGCCGCCAGCCTGGGCACCGATGGCTCCCACTACTGGAGCAAGAACTGGGCCAAGGCCGCGGCCTTCGTCACCTCGCCGCCCATCAGCCCTGACCCCACCACACCAGAGCACCTCTCCACGCTCCTGGCCTGGTAGGTTCGCCCAGAGTGCGGATTCGGGGAGGATCCTTGGTGGCGGCCCCAGGCTGGTGGCCGGGCTTGGGGAGGCTGTGGCTGGACCCGTGTGCATGTCCCGGAGGACAGAGCGAGCGCGGAGCTCGTGGAGCACGCGCGTCCTCTAGGCAGGCAGCCTCGTCCATCAGGAGCAGTGGGAAAGCTTTTGTTGGTGTTGGCCAAAGCTGGTGCTGAAGCCGCTGTCTGTGTCCTCCGGCCACAGTGGGGACCTGCAGGTGACGGGCAGCGCTCACTGCGCTTTCACCACGGCGCAGAAGGCAGTGGGCAAGGACAACTTCACCCTGATTCCGGAGGGCACCAACGGCATCGAGGAGCGCATGGCCATCATCTGGGAGAAGTGCGTGGTAGGTACAGCGCTGCGTGCACCGTGCTGGGTGATGGGCAGGGCCTCCTTGGTCGCGCGAGGCTCCGGCGTCATCTCACGTCTCTGTGGTGTTATCTGGACCTCCTCGTCTCCATATCCTCAACCATGTTGTGGTGGAGGTGAGGTCTCTGCATGGTGAACTGGAGCCTGCTGATGGAGCCTTGTTCTCCTAGGCCTTACCTTTTGTGGGCCAGGGGAGGTAGATAAGTCTCTATTGGGTTATTAGACCGCCATGCTAAGGTGCAGCCCCCCCACACACACCCCTTGCTTGCCCCCCAGTCACACACGCGTCTCGTTATCGCTCCCTCTGCTCCCGCCCCTGTCCTGGAGCCCCATTTTGGCTCCCAGAGACACTCCTGCCGCCCGGCCCGCGCTCTGCCCTTCCTCTCCCAGGTCTCGGGGAAGATGGACGAGAACGACTTTGTGGCCGTGACCAGCACCAACGCAGCCAAGATCTTCAACTGCTACCCCAGGAAGGGGCGAGTTGCCGTCGGGTCGGATGCCGACCTCGTTTTGTGGAACCCCAAGGCTACGAAGATTATCTCGGCAAAAACCCACAACTCGGTAAAGCAGCTCTAGAATTGCTTCTTGATGAGTGGATTTTGCAGTCGGAGGATGATAGAGAGGGATGCGGAGCAGGTCCATGGGGGAGCAGAGCAGGTCCAAGGGCTCCCCCAGCCATTGTGGGGTCTCAGCCACCTGTTTGTAGGAGAGGTTTTGGGTCTCCCCATGGAATGTCAGCCATGGCCTTGCAGGTCTCCCACCAGGAGCCCCAACACGGGTGGCCAAAAGCCGGGGTGGGCCCTGGCGCTGGCAGGACTACGGGAGCTCCGTTAAGGCAGAAAGGCTTTCCAAAAACTGCTTTCTTTTACGAAGCTGTTTTTAATTGAAGGAAGTCGCTGTTATGTTTGAAACAATTGTTTTCTATTAGAAATGAACACAGGTTGTTTCTTTGGTCCAGAAAATGCATTTTTGCTCGTGGAGAACACAGTGTTGTTTCAGAGTTTGCTTTTGAAAAGTTTGCTTTGTTCTGTTTTGTTTGGAAAAGGTTGGCAGCAGCGGTAATGGGAAGAGTTGAAAAAGGGCACAGCTTTGCCTTCCCTGTGTTCCTGTTCCTATTTCCCTCTTTATTTTGTTAGAAGACTTGAAATTTTCCCCGAAAATTCATTAGTTTCTGTAACAAAATGGAGAAACTAAGCAGAGCAAATTGGGGTTTTAAATAACAAACCGGTCACTTATGGCAAAAGCCTGATGTGCCTCAGGAATGTTGTGTGTCTTTTGGAGAAGTACTGAACATTTTGAGGATTTATTTCCATTCCAGTTTGCTGTATTTATTTCATCCAATAATAGCTTCATTATTTCAAAATTAAATGGCAAATTAAGGGACAGATTTGTGCACGGGCAGCAACACGCAGGGATGTACCGGGGAGGGAGCTGGGCCTTCTCCCCTTCAGTCCTGACCTCATTGGGTGTCCACATTTCCCAGAATGTGGAGTACAACATCTTCGAGGGCCTCGAGTGCCACGGGGCTCCCAGCGTCGTCATAAGCCAGGGGCGGGTTGTGCTGCAGGACGGGAGCCTCTCCGTCACCCCGGGCTCTGGGCGCTTCATTCCCAGAAAAACCTTCCCGGACTTCGTCTATAAGAGGATAAAGGCAAGAAATCGGGTAAGGAAAACTTCGCCTTTTTTTTGCACGCCGTTTGCAGCACTTTATTGCAGCCACTGTTGGGCTGCACGACACTGCAGCCGACTGGGGGGCCAAAATTCCACTAATGCTCTTGTCACTAGAGCTGTCGCTGGTCTTGGAGATTGGAGGGTATCATCTGCCCTTCACTTACGTAATTATCTGGAATAATCAGAGCAAGGTATATTCATGTTCATATAAGGGACTTATTTGTTTGCATAGGCAGGTTAAGCATACTGGTCAGAATCTCACATCGTTTGTATTGTATACCTACTGCAGAGCAAAAATGTGACCCAATCTGGGTCTGCTTGTTTCGGTTGTAGCAGGAGGGAGGGATCCAGCACCCGTTTGTGCCCAGCTAGAAACATCTGTTGTGGTACCGACCTCCCGCTCTGCCTCCCTCAAACGGAGGTGTCTTCCCTGTGGAAGATGGTGTGTGTGATGCGGAGGGCCACTCGGTGCCATTTGTAGTTTGAAACCCAGCGCTTCTTACACGCGCCGCTGCTTTTCCCGCAGCTGGCCGAAGTGCACGGCGTCCCCCGTGGGCTCTACGACGGGCCGGTGCAGGACGTGGCGGTGGCGGCCAAGGCTGCGGCGCCGGCGCCAGCCGCGCGCGTGGTTCCCTGCGCCAGCAAAATCCCGGCGGTGCCCGTGCGCAACCTGCACCAGTCGGGGTTCAGCCTCTCCGGTAAGCCGGGCTGCGGCCCCAGCTGCTCCCGCGTGGCGCTGGGGAGGGACAGGCACCGTGAACGTGGCGGCGTTAGTGCTGGGCTGGGGGCAGCGCTCAGCGTGCGCTGGACACGCGGGGCTCGGCGCCGGCGCTGCTGCAGCCCCCGCTGCCGCAAGGCCACGGCCAGTTGCAGTTGGTGCCGGGCGCGGGCGGGTGCCCGTCCTGGCGCGTGACCACGCGTGTCTCTCCGCAGGCTCGCAGGCTGACGACCACATCGCCCGGCGCACGGCGCAGAAGATCATGGCGCCGCCGGGCGGCCGCTCCAACATCACCTCTCTGTCCTAGCGGCTCGGGGTCCCGCGGGCGAGTGGGCGGCCCCACTCTGCCGCCTGCACTCGCCCCTCACCAGGGCCTCCCGGCGGCTCCGGACCCGATGATCCCGTGCGGCGCCGCCGCGTCTTCAGGCACCGCCAGAGTGCCGGAGGCGCCGCCGCCGCCCCCTCCTCCTCCGTAGCGGATGGTAGATGACAGGTAGCTGAGTGGTAGCGCTCCCCCGGTGCTCCCTGCCCCGTGCCCGGCCGCCACGGCCTCAGCACAGGGCTCCTCGCTCCGTGCATCCGGCGGCAGCCCCTGCCCCTCCGCCCGAGGGCGTCTCCGCACGGGCAGTCCCGCCCGCGCAGCTGGCGAGCGCGGTGGTGATTCCCGCCGCTGGCTGCGCACACGGGTGCTGCCTGCGCCGCTGCGCGCGAGCCCGGGCTGCAGGTGCCACACGGTGCCCGTGTCCGGGCAGGACATCTGCACGGGTGGCACCCCGCTGCACACCGCCACGGCACCGATACGTGGTGCGGGGCGGCCCTCCCTCACTCCTGGTTTTTAGAGGTTATTTATACAGTTTCCCGGGGCCCGGGTCAGTCCTGCAGCCAGAGGCAGGTTTCAGGGCCCGCTGCGTTTGACAGACTCTTTTACAAGGTTGCTGTGACCGGTTTGTTACAGCTAACGCTGCACAGCAAACACAAGTGTCCAAGCCCCCTCACTGCGCGTCTGTGCATGTCCCTCTCCCCCCGACTCCCCGTGTGTTCATTGTTTCCAGTAAAGTGTGTTGGAAAACGCCATAGCAGAAGTGGGTCATTAATCTTCACCTTTTGTTCTTCCTCATGCCGTGAAAGCGGCTCCTCGATGGCGTCGCCATCCTCCTCATCAACAGTAACAGGAGCCTTCCCAGCTGCCGGGAGCAGCAGAGCTGCCCGCGCAGCCAGTCCCTGGCGCTGGGGAGCCCCTTGACGTCCCTCCGACGTCCCCCCTTTCTGCAGCCTCCTGCCTTCAACCCTCCCCAGGGCCTCTGGCCCGCGCTGCAGCCTCCCGTGTGCGCCAGCACCGAGGCACGGGCCGACGCTGGTTAAATCACACCCAGGCAGCCCCTGCACAGCCTCCGTGCCCAGCAGCACCTCGCGAGGCTGCCCCCGCCGCCACTGCCCTAGAAATGATGGCACGGGTCTGGCAATGTGAAAAATACACATTTATTACTCCACAGATGCAATGGCGTCTCGCGGTATCTGCAAAAAACACAAATCTGTCCTCATGACATAAATAATCTCCTGTGACATGGGAGTTTTTCTCATGCAATTAAAAACTACTGAAATGTATTAACACAAACTACAAAGATAAACTATACATGTCTGATTTCCACTGAATTAATTTTTAAAAATAGCCTGCCCAGGCTTCAGGATTTTAGCACGGCCCAGTGTCAAGTTCACAGTGCAGGTGTTTTTGCTATATTCTTTGACTACTCTTACTCACTTTTGGCAAAGTGGAGGCTAATAGAGACTTGGCATCAAAAATCAAAACTTTTGGGCCTGACCTGGTATTTCTTTCCTATGCAAAGTTCCCAGGGAAGTCTGCAGAATTCAATGGAAACATGTAAAAATATACAACTTTCCAAAACTTCGTAATACAACATAGGTAAGAAAACACCTTATGGCAAGGAGTCTAGGAGAATAATTCATGGATGATGGAGACTTTCCACAGCGGATAACGGAGCACCCTGTATAAATCCGTCATACAAAAAATACACATATTTAAATATTTATAAGCAGAAAAACCCCGTATCCCGGTTCTCCCGGAGCCCCGGTGAGGGGCTCCTGCAGCAGAAGCGTGTGCCGAGCTCTGCTCGCGCGGCGGCCGCGCGGGGCCCGCGAGCCGGACGCTGTGTGGGCCCCGTCAACGTGGGCTCTGCGGGGCGGCACCCAGCGCAGCCGCAGGGCCGGGGTACCAGCCCAATGTCCGAGACCTGCAGCAGACTTTTAGCAACGGGCAAGGCCACCTATTCCTTATGGTTCTTCCTTTTTACAGTCACCCTCGCTGTGATTCCCTCCCCAGCACCTGCGCATAAACACGCAGCAATACGGCCTCCTTCCCACACATCCTCGAGGCTGAAAACCACTTAAATACTCAAATTACATCACGCTTGCAGTGTCTCCAGCACAGCACAGCGAGCCCCAGAGATAAGACATGTCCTTTCTCCTCCTTGGGGAGGACTCAGAAGTGGGTTTACTGGAGGCCCAACACACACTCCTAGATCTCATGTCCCTAAGGAATGTTTGGGGGGGACGTTTCAGGAATTCTTTCTCAAAGTTCAGAACTTGGCCCCCATTTATTTTAGCCTAGAAGTAGCAAGTGCACAATGCCCTCATGTACACGAGGCACTGCTTTTCAGGGAGTGTTTTGCAGTATTTATACAACTCACGTCTCCCACCTACGAGGCCGTTTGGTCCAAATCTGTGTTATGCTGTCATTCTACTATTCTCAAACTTTTGTTACTAAAAGCTTATTTACAAAAAGAAGATAAATAGTGAAATGGAGTTTACAGGAACAAAAAGGACCAGAAGCTCTTCATCTCAGCAGGAGATGCAGGGGTCTCAGGCCGCTCCCTGGGTGCGAGGTGGTCACTCCTGCAGCGGGACGCAGACACCCGCGAGCCGCGGAGCGGCCCGGTGGCCCCGGCGCCGCCGCGCGCCCTTCGCCCACACGTGCCCTACAAGAGCCTGTGTGAGTGGTACACAAGCTGCAGCCCCTGCCCAGCGAGCCGTCCTGGGTGAGCTCACTGCAAACGGCGCTCGGCCCGCGATTAGCCACGTACTGGCTTCCACATAAAACTGTGGAAAATAGATGCACTGTGTCGCGTTTCCTCTGAAATGGTCTCATTCTGGTTAGGCCTTTTTAGTCCAACGGAAATTGAAAACTCAGCAAAAGCTGCCCTGAAAAAGCATGCATCCATCAAAACCCTTCTCCATCCCTCTGTCATGTGTCGCAACATGGACAGAACGCGGGAAGCCCCTGGGTGCCTGTGGCAAAGAGCAGCGGGCGCGCGCAGTGACGCCCGGGTGCGTCGCGGCGGCTGCAGCGCCCCGGGCCCGCAGTGCTCCCCCAGCAGCCGTAGTGCAGGGAGCAGCCGCGACCGCTGCCAGGGCTGGCGGTGCCACGAGGAGAGGTCCCATCCGCAGCGCCATGAGGATAGGCTTGCGAGGACGTGAAAACAGGCGGGGGGAAACTATGTACAGTGCTGTCACCTTGTGTTTCAAATAAAGTAAGAGAAGGGTGCAATAAGGTACTCCCCTCTCTCTGTGACTGAGCTGCATTTTAAGGCCACCTGCTCTGCTCCCAGTAAACGTGCGGCTGCGGGCAGGCTCCGGAGCGGGCAGGCAGTGGCAGGAGGGGCTGGTCTGTTTGCACAGCTCCCTGCGAGTCCGTGGTGCAGCAAGGCGACGCTGCCCGTGCGCGCTCCAGGCTACGAGCCCGGCTCCCACCCCGGCCGGCAGTGCTGGCAGTGGCACCACTGGGCATGCGGGATGTGGCAGGCCCAGGGCAGCGTCACAGCACGCAGCTCCCGGCCAGCAGCGCAGCACCAGCCCCGGCAGCTCTGCTCTGCAACGGGCTCCTGTCAGCCCAGCAGTGGGCAAGGCCCAAGCGAGGCAGAGATCTCCCGCTCTTCCTCCCCGCCCATACCCAAGCACAGAGCTTGTCAACGAGCTGCATCAAGAACACATCGGGAGCAGCTGCTGCTACAGAAGGGCAGGGGAAGAAGCCGACCTGCTCACTGCAGCAGCTGCGCAGTGAGTGCCCTGCGCTGCCCAGACGGAGCTGGGACGGCCCTAGCTGCTGCCCGATGAGGAGCACACGGAGCTGCACATGGTCAGGTTCAGGCTTGTGGCCTCCGCCTCGTCAGCGGCTTCAGGGGGAGACGTGAGCTCGCTTGGCTGCTCTTGACTCTTCTTTAGTCTGCGGGAGAGAGGAATGAGGTGTTGTGTGGCTTCCCCAACAACAGACACAGCCTGACCCTAGGTAAACAAGACACATGCTTCCAGATCAGCCAGATCCCCCTTAGCACAGTGGTAGATCTTTGCATGGGCTGCAATATGAGTGAAACTCCAACTGTACTGAGGTCCTCCCCAGTGACTGCCAAAATCTGCCACTGATTGCCTGGACCTTGGTAACAGATACACAGCTTTTGCCCTGTGGGAATCAAGCAAGAGCCCTCTGCTTCCTAGGAGAGTCAGGCAAAAGCATCTTTGTGTCCCCAGATATCCCCACACTCACTTCTCTCGGTTAAAAATGACAAAGTCCTGCTGGATTGCTTCAAGGCATTCTTGGAGATAGTCATTCTCCTGTTGAAGAAGAGGAAGCAAATGTAAGAAGTGCTGCTGCACGGCCTTGCCCCTCTGCAGCAGACAGTGCTCCCGCCTGCGTGCAGCCCTGTGCTCCACCGCTGCCAACAGCAGCCTACATGGATGATGGAGGCTTCCTTCACCTCCTCCATGGAGCAGCTTCATCACCTCCACGGGGCACCTTCATCACCTGCAGCAACACCAGCTGCCCCAGCCTGACCCTGAGCTCTTGCTCCTCTCAGGTGCAGAACAAAGTGTTCCCCTCTCAAAGTGCTGAGAACTGCACAAAATGCACAGCTAAAAGGCACAGCTATTCTGGAAATCGGGCCCTAGGTCTTGGCATGCAAAGTGCTTTCAACTGCGTTGGCAGCAGAACCTCCCAGAGTTATTTTCTAGTTTGCTTATCATGATTTTTCACTCAGTTCCCGATTCATTCCTTGGTTGTTTACAGTAAGTCTCATTGATTGCAGCATTAACTGCTGAGGAAGGACATGATCCACTGCACTTAACTGGTGCAGCCAAGCAAAATCCTAGCAGGTACTTCCTGCTGCTCCCTGGTAATGGATATTCTTATTCCCAATGGAGGAGGGACTTTTAGGTAAGAAGGGTAGGGAATACGGAAGCAGGTGTTCAGGCAGAATGAATACTCCTTCACATACGGCTCCCTTGAACATCTGCTTCAGCTGCAAATAACCCTTACAAAATACTGAGTTTCCCCTTGACAGGATCTTTCCCCATGTCAGGATCTCTCTTGCTCTTCTTTCAAGTTCCAAAGTATGGAATAGTGTGGAAGAGATCTACCAGGCTTACATAAGATGAACATTTGGTTGTCAGGATGATTCCATTTGGCAAATGTTTCTATTAAAATAACTCCACATGGGAAGTCATTGCCACAGCAACCACCGCACCCCCCTCCGCTCCGCGTCCCGCAGCCTGCTATTGCAGGATTGCACTTACGGACTGGGAGCTGTCTTTGCTGTTGTCCCTCGACTTGTTCTTTGCAAGCCTCTTCTTCTTTTTGTGCAGCGGCCGCGACTCCAGAATCATCTCCTCCAGCTCAAAGGTAGGATCGCAGTGCAGGCGGCCCTTCTGCAGGGGTACAAGACACCACGGGTGGATTAGATAGTGGCCAGGGAGATCCTCTCTTCAGCAATACATTCAGAGACTCCTTCCAAGCCGCATGCCACAAGCTGGCTGGGAGGGGGGAACTCACGTTGGGCACAAAGCCCGGCTCCACCTTCTTCTCGCAGACGTCGCCCCACACCACGGCGGACAGGTAGGCCGAGGCCTGGACGTCGGCGAGGCGGGAGAAGCGGTGCTCGGGGTTCACTGTGAGCAGCTGCAACGACACGCGCCTGCGGCCTGAGCCGGAGCAGGGCAGGGCCCGTCCTGCCTGCGCAGCGCAGCTCCACGCCGCGCCAAAAGCGGCCAGGGGAAGTGCCCAGCTCTCCACACACTAAATGGGAAAAATGCCCTGACAAGTGCAGCACTCCCAACTGGGAGCTCTGCTGAGCGCTGCTTTGCTTCCTCCCTTGCCTGCTTCCAATGCACAACCTTCCTGCACGGCCTTCCTGCGTGCTTCCCGCAGACTGCTCGCGCCAGCGTGTAGTTTGAGGCAGGGTAGTACGGAAGGTTATAATCTTTTTTGCAGAAAACCAAATGAGTTTTCAGCACTTCTGCAATGCCAAAGCTGAGCATCTGAGCAGACAGCCCAAGTTCGGAGAACGTGTTCAGAGCCTAACAGAGGTCCAACCCATGGATGCTGTGAGCTAAACCAAGCTGATGTGTGGCAGCATCCTGCTTATAGAAATCAAAACACGACACTCCTGGCAGCAGCACAGGGGAGCAAAGTTGCTTTGATACCAAAGTCTCACCACAGCAATACTAATTACTTGATAATCTCTTGGGACTCAGAAGCGTTCCTTCACACTCGGCTTTGCTGTCCAACAGATCTGCGGTTGGCTGTGGCACGCAACCCTCTTATGGGTGACAACAAAGCTCCAATGCTTCCTTTCTTCTGGTTTATGTTACAGAAAAAAAGCTCTCATTCCTTTCAGGTGTGTTATAGAGTCTAAATAAGCTATGCAAATCCCTAGACAATAAAAGGTGCCACTATCAAGCCCTTAAAACCTCTGTACAACCTCCTGTAAAATGCTCTAGATATATATTCAGTCCTAGTTAAAATTAGCTCTGCTAGAAACTACTGTCTGGATGAACTTTTAAGGGTTTTTTTTTTCATTGCATAAAACTGTCTTTATCTTTAAAATTACAGTGAGGGTATTTACCATTTGAGGGTAAAGTCACCGTTTTACAGGGTGAGTCTGCACACTTGCCTAGCAGCAAGTTCTCCTGGAGTTCTGCAGAGATAAGAAGTTACTGGTCTTTGAAGCCCTGACGGCTCCCGATGTGCACAGTGCATGCATATAGTCTGTGTGTGTGTATGTATTTTTGTGTACATATATATGTATACACACATATATACACACATATATATGACTATTGATATTTTCTGGTTAGACATTTATTTTTTGAAGCATGTGTTCCCCAACTCAACCCAGTAGATGGCATTGTGATGTAGCTGAATAATTTTTATTGCAACAATAACTAACAACTGTTTCTCATTAAAATAAAATCTAATTATGTAAATCATCCATCCAACATTAACTTAAATTGCAGTCACTGATTTGCTGTCAGCACTAGGTATATTTCAGAATATTTCAGAATATTTCAGAATATTTAAGGTTGGAAGGGACCTCTACAGATCATCTAGTCCAACCTTCCTGCTCAAGCAGGCACACCTACAGCATGTGGCACAGGGTGGCATCCAGGCGGGTTTTGAAGACCTCCAGAGTAGGAGACTCCACAACCTCCCTGGGCAGCCTGTTCCACTGCTCTGTCACCCTAACAGTAAAGAAGTTGCTCCTCACCTGGAGACGGAACTTCTTGTGTTTCAGCTTGTGGCCATTACCCCTCGTCCTATCGCTGGCCACCAGTGAGAACAGCTTGTCCCCTTCCTCCCTGCATTCTCCCTTCCTGAACTTATACATATTAATCATATCCCCTCTGAGCCGTCTCTTCTCCAGAGAAAACAGGCCCAGCTCACTCAGCCTCTCTTCATACGAGAGATGTTCCATTCCCTTAATCATCCTGGTTGCCCTTCTCTGGACCCTCTCCAGAAGCTCCACGTCCATATCTTTTTTATAGCACACTGATCAGCGACTTTTCTCAGTTTTCAAGCAACCAAAAGCTAAACAACAAATAGAAGCTTTCCAGCTGTAGCAACACAATCAAAGCAACAGACTGCCCCAAATTTTTTATATATATATATATATATATATATGTAAAACCTCACAGACCTTTCTAATAGCTAAATACATCTGAATCAGGTTCTTCAAACTTACAGAACTAAGAGAAAGTAGTTAATACAGTGGGACCAGCAAACACTTCTATATCTTACACTGCTATTTCAGTTACCATCTTTACCTTTTAAAGTTGTGATGGTCATACACTTAGGTAGTAAATGAGCACAGTTGTAGCCTACATAAGAACCTGATTGTTACATCAGAGTTGGCCCTTTTCTTTGCTTGCTACCAAACACACTGCATTTTATGACAGAGATAAGTCAGCAAAAAAACCCACAAATTACAGAGATAAGTTTATGTTTAAAATTCAAGTCATAAGAAAAGATAGTGTTTCATTATTTATTATTATCCATGAAAAGCTTCTTGCTTGTCCTATAAGCATCGTAGCTTACATACAACTCAAACCACACCAAAAAGCATATTTACCTTCCTGAGGAGAGCAACCATCTCCTTTGACCATGCAGATGAGTACTGGACACTCACAGTACTGAAGAGCTGAACTAAGGACTCTACTGGGTTACTGGAGTGGATATCATATGGTCTCTAAGAGGAAAAAAACACACACACAGAAATACGAGAAAATATTTACTTTTCTCTATGAATTTCACTACAAAAGCATGGTCTTAGACTAACGGACAGTACAAAACCCCTTACCCATCCTCGAAGAAGTTCATAGGCCATAATGCCCAAGGACCACCAGTCAACTTCAAAGGAGTAACCCGTGCCACCATTCATGAATGAATGAAAAATCTCTGGAGCTAAACAGAAAGCATAAAAATAAGATGATTTATTCACAGCCACCACTTGCTTCTCTTTCAATAACCTATTTCATATAAGTCACTATGCAAATATTATCATAATTTTCACGCATTAAAGCCACAGGAGAGTCTTTGCAAAAAGATCCAAAGTGTGGAGGGTCTCTCCTCCTTGACAAAGTCACTGTCAAGCCCTGTGGCTATGGGGCACCTAGGGAGCCCTCGCTCCTGACCAAAGGACAGAACCCTGGCTGCTGCCCGGCGAAGGACCAATCCCCAGCTCAGAACAGCATCAGGAGTCAATGGGGAGATGGAGAAGGCAGGCAAACACAATCGGATCACAAGGGATCTTCTGAGAGGAATTCATTCATTTTAAGAGTTTTTCAAGCTCAAACAATTCAGCTGTGCTGAATGACTTGGGTGCATGCATTAACGTGTGCAATTAATTCAGCTCCTTGTGACAGATACCGATCACAAGACAGCACACTGCGAGTGTGCTCTGAATGTAAAACATATGTATAACAAGCAGCCCTTAGTTCTTACCCATGTATGGCTTGGTTCCAGCTAAGGCAGTTGCTCTTTCACCATCCCTAATTATTGTTGCAATATTAAAATCTGTTAAATGTGCATGACCTTAAATAAGAACAGAATTTGAGGAGGAATTAATGGCAGAACAAACAGTTGCAATGTGGAGTCAGAATACAAAACCTGTTATAAGCATTTGCTATCAGACAGTGTAGCACAGGTGTGGGCAGCTCACAATCCAGCTCCCACTAAATAGCCCTCAGAGATCCTAAAATTATCGCTAGATTTCAGACTCGTCAGATGGAAAATGTTTAAATGCTAGATAGCTTTGTTCCTTGATTTTCAAACCTATCTTGGAGCTTCACATTTTGAGTAGTGGTCATGTAAAATACCCAGCTTTTTTTCATCCTACTTCTACATATTTTTTATTTCAGAATATTTCAGAATATTTAAGGTTGGAAGGGACCTCTAGAGATCGTCTAGTCCAACCTTCCTGCTCAAGCAGGCACACCTACAGCATGTGGCACAGGGTGGCATCCAGGCGGGTTTTGAAGACCTCCAGAGTAGGAGACTCCACAACCTCCCTGGGCAGCCTGTTCCACTGCTCTGTCACCCTAACAGTAAAGAAGTTGCTCCTCACCTGGAGACGGAACTTCTTATGCTTCAGCTTGTGGCCATTACCCCTCGTCCTATCACTGGCCACCAGTGAGAACAGCCTGTCCCCTTCCTCCCTGCATTCTCCCTTCCTGAACTTATACATATTAATCATATCCCCTCTGAGCCGTCTCTTCTCCAGAGAAAAAAGGCCCAGCTCACTCAGCCTCTCTTCATACGAGAGATGTTCCATTCCCTTAATCATCCTGGTTGCCCTTCTCTGGACCCTCTCCAGAAGCTCCACGTCCTTCCTATACTGGGGTGCCCAGAACTGAACACAGTACTCCAGGTGTGGCCTCACCAGAGCTGAGTAGAGGGGCAGAATCACCTCCCTTGACCTGCTGGCAACGCTCCTCCTGATGCTCCTTATGCTCTACATATGCACATTCAAACTGAGATTCTGCAGAGGTTTCCATGGCATAAATATATCTGATATCAGAATCCATCTAAATAACATGGACATTCAGAAAATCAACAGATTTCTTTCAGGGCTATAGTGACTATTCCTCACTTTCTAAAATATCTTCAGCCCCTGCAAGGAGAACTATTTGGACAGACTAGAATTCAAGAATGACTGTGAGAAAAGATTTTTAAAAAAGACTTTTTGAATCTCACGAGCTTCAAACTTGGGACAAAAACAAGTCCAACTTTAAACTTGACATTTTTAACCATTTGAAAAACTCAAGTTCAACTTTTCGTCTGCATGAATGAACACAAGGTATGTGACAACACTGACCCAAAGTGCAGCACAAAAACACAGGGATGCAGAAAATAGTGAGAAAAGGCACTGTAACAGTTTAACCTTGGAAACCTAAAACATTACTAACACACCTACCTTGGGAACTAGTAATCTACACCAGCTCCAGCGTTTGGTCATACTGATAAAACCAGACCTATATTTAGCAAAGATAACAAAGGGAAATGCTACACTAAGATAACACCATGGTAGCATTGATTTTTTAAAAAATCTGGAATTGCTTTTGGATGAAAGCCATTCAGCCAACCACAACTACCTGCAAACCGCCAGAGCAGAAGAGTATTGTGCATAGCACTGTACATTTTGCACATTGGTCTAAATGGAATCAGAACAATATTTTTCAAACCCTAAAACTGCACTAAGAAATCATTATGATTTTTTTGAAAAGTGCTGGAATACCTTCTCTGTTTCTCCATTCTCTACCATCAGGACAGAGAGTGAAAATTCTAGCAAAAACCTAGACAGAGTTGCCGTCGCCATGACTTCTGCTACAGGCTGGCCGGGCTTGCCACCATTTCCAAACTGTAGTTCAGAGCTGACGAAAATCTTGGCAAGGCCTGAACAGCTCTCCTATGCCTGCAGAAACGTAGCAAGCAAAGCTCAAGAGGGCCGGGTAGTGTGGGAGCATGCAGTGCAAGGTGTCCACGCTCCCACCAGGAGGTCCCTGCCTGTCCCTGCCCCAGGAGCTGCCTGATGGCTCTATGAACTTCCACACGACACATCACGCTACCTGACTTCAGAGAGGCAGGACAGGGACACACACACAAGCTGCCGAGCACCTGAAGAGTGATTGCCACTAGCCAGTCTGCATGCAAGTGTCTCCTCCACAGCAAAGACACTCCCTGTCCGTGCAGAGATTCTGCACAGAGAGAAAACCAGACCACCCGACAGCTCGGACTAATACACGAGGATTTTCACTGTGGGGAACACCACTGCTCTCTAATCCTTTCACTCAGACCACATTTCCCACACAAAGTGCTCTATAGAAGAGATCGGCTGCTGTTGAACGTTCTCTTCCATGTTGCTCAGATGAGTTTTCACAGAGTCCTTATATTGCAAACACATCAAACTAACGATTACCTCAAATACCTTATGTTATCCGAGTTGAGTGATCAAGAACAAAATCAAACGTGAGTGCTGGCAGCTAAAGAGTTTAAAAACCTGCTAGTGGGTCATTATTTTCAAACCAATCCGAAATACAGAAAACCTACCCAGTTGTTATTCCTGAGGCTGTTTTCTTCTGTCTATCAGGCATCTGTGACAATGATGTGTATATCACAAATCCTGTTCTCCTATTACTTAAAATACTCCTGTTCTCATTTATGTTTGAGCATTTTATTCTGGTAAAGCACTTGTATTTCTTGCCTAGACAACCTGTGCAAAATAAGAGGCTCTGAGACGAGCAATGAGAGGTGAAGGAGACTGGGGCTGCACAGAGGCAGAAGGGCGACTCAGCAGGATGGTCCAGGGACTTCCCTTCGCAGTACAAGACACACATGTGACCAACCAAAGACCAAACAAGTAAAAGGAATGGTGCCGCTCACACCCTTTTCCCAGACGCTCAGTAGTGGGACACTAAAAGCTTAGCACCTTGTGGGAAGAAGGCAGAGAAAGGCAGCTCCTACCTTGCTCATCAAGGAGAATGTTGTCTGGTTTTACATCTCTGGAAAAAGAAAAAAGATTATGAGATGAAATCTCAGTCACATTGAAGATGCATCTCAACAACAGCTCTCAACAACTACAAAAAAGCTACTTTTTATCTATCAAAAATTAGGAAGAGATAAAGCAAAAACATCCTGATATAAGCCCCTCACAGATGGATTAGAAATAAGCTTTTCCTGGGCAAACAAAAGTGGGAGCACCTGGCTGCTTTGGGCACCACTTCCTCAAAAATGAATTTTGCAAAATTAGGACTATTTCTATGAAGCCCTTGAGCATTTTAAAAATAAATCCTGAAAGGCACTGCTTTCAGTTATGCCAGTAAAAAAACGGAGATTTGTCCCCTTTTGGACCAACTGGCAGCAGCAGCAGCCAAAATGTTGCCCAGAACTGGGGACACCAGGTGCGGTTTGATGGAAGGAGCTCCGTGACTGCGGCACGACGGACGTCCCCATCGCAGGGCTGAGAGTCACTGGGATCCATTTGGGCATCTCCTGCGGGTGCAGAGCAGCTTCCAGCAGCCCAGACCTGCCCCAGGCTCTTACAGCACACAGACCTGCTTGCTCTCTGTGCTTGACTATCTCCGGTGCTCATCCCCAGCAGGGCTGAGGACCAGCTTGGTGTCTACCTGTGGATGATGTGCTGGCTCCGCAGGTAGTCCAACGCCAGAGCCATCTCGCAGATGTAGAGCTTGACCGTTTCTTCTGTAAACTGGACGTTCTGCTGGAGATGGTAGCGCAGGTCCCCGCCCAACAGCAGGTCCACCACCATGAACATGTCCTCCTCATCCTGGAAGGAGTACCTGTGGGCACCAACAGGGTTAGCGAGCCGCTGGCTCCCGCCGCGCTGCACGGGACAGACCAAATGACGTCGCATTTTCTCTCTCTCTTAATTACACAGCACCTGCGAAAAACTGCAAACAGTCCCACTATGAGCATATGCTGGCTGCAATGTTTACAGGTTTTTAATTAAGCAAGCATAACTCAAGATGCTGTCTTGTTTTTTTAACATACCGCTAGCTGAGTAACATCTCCTTGGAGGAGGGAGCTGCTGCAGTTAAATTCCCCCATGCCGTGCCATGCCATGCCATGCCATTCTGCCAGTGTCCTCCTCGGTGCTCGCACCCGATGTGCAGCGTGAGGAAGGAGGAGCAGGAGGCTGCGTGTCCGGGGCCCGCCAGGCCCAGCGCCCTGGCACGCTGTCCCACTGGGCACACACTGACAGTGCTCTCAGCAGCCCCTGGCTTGGGTCATATCGGAAAAAAATGCTAAATTACACAAAAATAGTAGTTACCCAAGTAGCTTCAAGGAAGCTTTGCTTCCTAAGGTATCTAGCATGTTGGGTCTACTCTTTGAACTCCTCAGAAACTGCCCAACACGAACAGACTCTTGAGCACCTCATTTTTCAGGGACAGGGCTTTTCCGAGGCAAATTTTATGCCAAGTTGTGAGTCTCCATTACCTCTCCACCCCAGTTTGTCCGATTTATCACTTCACTCTTGTGCCAGTGCTGTTCCCATGTCTATCCTGATCTACCTTCAATACAGGTCTCTCTCCTCCTCTCAACCTTCCTTACACCAGAGCCCGTTTAGCCTGGAAATAGGCTCCCGGGTTCCAGGGTCCCCCAGCTCGGGGTGCAGCCAGGGGTGCTCCAGAGCGAGGAAGCCCCCATTCTGCACATGGCCCCGTTCAGTGCCGGGCGCTGGGCACCGCGGCAGAGTCTTTGCTGCCCATGTCTGTTGGAGACACGTCCCGTTTGCGGGTGCCTTGCAGCGCTGCCACAGCCCCTTCTTGTGCTTGGTCCTGCGGAGACCTTCCCCACAGCTTTCGCCATCACCTCCGCGGCTCCAGAGCTCCACTAATGATGTGAACAGCAAAAATCACCGCGGAAGCAGCTGCTGGTGGCCGCTCAGGCACTCAGCAGGAACCGCTCGCTCCCGTTTGTGCCTCGTGAATGAGTCATCTCATTAGCAGACGAAGTTTGGGGCTCTGCTAACAAGTTATTTCTGAGCAGCTTCAGACTCTCACTGGTAAAAAAATATGCTAAATCTATATTGAAATTATCTCTGTATATTCTGCAAATGAATTCAAAACCACCAATGCTAACTTAACCACAAAGACCAGAAAAAGAGCCTTATATTTACTGTAGAGTAAAACGCCTCTATAAATTCAAAGTAGATTCCAAAGGAGACTGACAGCACTGAGGATACACCACAGAATAACATTTGACTGTTATATTTGGCTGCAGCATTTCTAAGCAAAGAATATGTGGGATTGTATAATACTTATGAATCACATACTTATGCTCTTATCCCAAAGGTAAGCTCATTCTAAATGCACAAGCCGAAAGGGAAGAAATTGCTAAGAGAACAAATTTCCTCAACATTTTCATTGCCTCCTGAAAAGAATATTTGCAATTATTGAAATGTTGAATAAATCAGTGTGCACTTCAGCTACTCTGGACCTCTACCTGCACTACATTCTGCACCTCAGTTCTACTTCTTTTACATGCACAGGCATGCATTCCATGCAGAGCACTTAGGAATTAAACACCAGGCAAAATTTCAAACCTCCCAGGTTAAATACCTAATATTTATAAAAAATCTATAAAAAATAAAGGATCCCTCTTCTTTTTCCTTTTCTATCTGTCATTTTCTCTCCATTCAACAGGATCTCCAATGCTTTCCATCGTTTTTCACAAATGTCCCTGTTCTTACATTGTGTGAAGGCAAGCTATGCCTTCTTATTTCTATAATATGCTATTGCTTATTTTTATATTACACGTCATGGATTTTCCTCTCTCCCAGCTCCTTCCCAACAGTGTTCAAAGATGTTTGCTAGCACAGAATCAGTTTTTGGTGTGCCAGTATCACAAGGGCAGTGATGATGGGTTTTCTGCTCCCTGCCACACTACAGATGTTCCTTTGCATGGCAGAGAAGCCAGGGGCTACAGGGACCACCTTGCAGCCAGCAGCATGAGGACATCATGACTTTAACACTAAACACTCATTCAAAATTGACCAATAATCCTAGGATTTAATTCACCATTTTCTAAAAACTGCAAATGCATTTGCATTGTGAAAAAAAAAAGATAATGATATATTTGAGTTCTAAAGTAATATATTTTATTTGACCAATGAACCTGTTGTAGAGAACCTTGCCATTAGCTGTTCTCTACCAAAAGGTCAAACACCTCACAATTTGAGATTTTTCTAAGAAACTGATCACGAAAAATCATTACATTTCAAATTGCTCAATAATTTCAAATTGCTTGTGAAATGACAAGTATATTAATTAGTGGATAGTTGTTTTAGCATCTAATTAAAAAAAAATCATACCAAGCTGAAAATCTAACAAATACAGTTAGTCTTTAACACCTTTGAAAAGCATCTTGTTTAAGCTATGACAGTAAAACATGGTAAGAAGTGTATGTGTCTCTTTGGCACCTTGACACTATATCAAATCTCACTCTGGTGTAAGTCTATACAGTAAGTGATCTCTGCAGTGACTGCCCAGCTATAAACACACCCAGGACAGCTTCAGAGAACTGTCTAGCAGCAAATCTCTGCGAGTTTGAGTTTGTAGAGGGACTGGATCTTTAACATCTGCATAAAACCCTGTACGTTTTGTATAATCTTTGCACTAACAGAAGTTACAAATTAACATCTCTGAAAAACGTCAGATTCTTTGTATTTTCCAGCAGTTATTTGGTTCAAGGACTGCCCCCACACAGTACACTATTCACCATGAAATGCCCCAGACTGTCCCAGTCTGTCCCCATCTACATGCACAGGGACGGACATCTCACCAGAGATTCACCAGGAACACGTGCTCGATCTCCTGCAGGATCTCCAGTTCTCTGAACACGTTGCGAACCTCATCCCTTTCAATGCACTGCTGTTTGTTCATGTACTTCATGGCGTACATCTTCTCAGTATCTCTCTTCTGGACAATACACACCTAAAATGGCAGAAAAGGGGAAAAAAAACAGAAGCTTCAGTAAAGCGTGCTATAATTTCCTTTGCTCCAGACACGGCAGCTTGGTGTGAGGCTGTCCCAGGCTCCAGACTCGCATGCTCGTTAGATGCACACCTGAGGATGTCCCTGCAAACAGGCCCTTGTGCAATCCCTGATTGGACCAACGTTTTCCATCTGTGTCCCCTCTGCATCGGCACCACCAAAAGTTTGCAAAGCCAGTCCATCTCCTTAAAAGCAGCAGTTAATACATTCAACACAAAGGACAGAAATGTGCAGGAGTCAGAGATATTAAGTTAAGCAAGATGCCACATCACAGTGCCAACCTTCTCCTAGGAGCAGCCCAGGCGCCTCCAAACAAGGGTCCCTGGACCTCGATGGGACTGTGGGCACAGCAGGAATCGCTCAGGAGGGCTCTGAAGCTCCACAACAGACCGTCCTCCTGGCAAGCAGCAGTCTAGGGCCCCCAAACTCCAAAACGTCTCCTGCCCACCCACCAGTTAGACCCATCGACACGAAGAGCCGCAGCTTCTTGGCCCCAACGTGCAGCACACAGACCTATTAATGTTGGGTACCAGGGATGTTAATGTGACATTGGGCCCCACTCTCCTGCTGTACTGAGATGTGCAAACCCTACTGCACACACTTCCCTGATCATCTTCCCTTCGGCGTATCTCCCCGTGGTTCTTCTGAGTACTAATGACACTTTAATTATCCAGGTAACTGTTTTTCAATGAGCTAATGGAAACTTTACAGCTGTTATAATTATGCCTGTCTTCCTTTAATTATCAAACAGGGTTATGACCATAATGCAGTGGACGTGTTTTATTTAAAACAAATAATTTGGCATTTTGTGGGCACAGCTGTCACTTGGGAGAGCACAGCGGGAAGCGCCTTCCCTGCAGAGCAGACCCTGTGCACGGAGCCGGTGCCAGCAGGCAGGGTGGCTGCTGGGGACGCCAGGAAAAGCCACAGGTGAGACCGAGGCCCCTGAACCGCTCTGCACCGCTAAACGCTCCCATTAATAACCACTTGCAAGGGCTAATGGCACATAATGTAATACCATCAAAGGCACGTTACAGCAGGAAGGTGAAGGGGTAATAGTAGTTGTCATTAGCCAGACATAAACACCCCAATTAGCGGGTGCACCCTCAAATTATGGGGAATGCTTTGCAGTTGTCATCACAAGCACTGTGTGAGCAGAGAATTATGAATTTAAATAACCACACACACCCCTCAGGGTGAAGGGATTACTTCGCCATCAGCTTGTCCTAGGCAATTTGAGCAGGCAGGGTTGGAAGCCAGGCCCCATGCTCAGGCACGACATGGCTGCCAGCGCCAGGCCCCACACTCAGATAACGACATGGCTGCCAGTGCCGGGCCCCATGCCACATGGGCCGGGGGCCGCACCACCAAGCGCCCCATGGGCTGGGGGCCGCGCCACCAAGCGCGTGCTGCCTTTGTGACTTTGGCACTCAGACCATCCAACAAGCGCCGTGTGCGAATGCCAAAGGAATCATCTGCCTCGCAGGTGGCCTCCTCAGGCTGATTTTTCCAATAAAATCTTGTTTCTATAATTAACATTCATGTAATGTGCTCATTATTCGCCATCCAAGCTGAGCTGCTTGGCCTCCAACCAGGGCTTCTGCTCCCCATGTCCCTCATGGCTGCCCTCAAGCGCATGAGGTGCAAAACCACATCATCCACTACATATATTACAAAAGCATGAGGTAAAATCACTACTTAATGCAAACTTAATAACAACAATGAACTACCTAGCTCAGTGCAAAGCACCAGTCGGATGTGACTCCTGCCTAAAGCAGATGAAACTGGTTGTACACTTTGCAAGAGTGTGAAAACAACTTCATCTTTTATAATTTCTTTGAGCAGAAAAGATCTAACTGTATCTCCTTAAAACATGGCCATTGCTATATAACTTACCTAAAAACAAGCCTCCAAGTAATTCCCACCCAGGCGCTAAACAACATTCTTCTCCAGTTTTGGTTTATTTCACATTAAGGCTGGAAGCTCATTAAATTCGCTCTCTATTTTTTCTTAGTTTTAGGTTTTCATTTCTAAAGAACAAGAAATATAACCAAGCATCACAGAGTTTCTCAAATGAGTAATTCTGACTTGCTGTATCTTAACATGTATTGCATTTTATAATAATGTCACTTGCTCTGCATTTATCTGAGGAGAAAGAAAGAAAAACTTGTATAATAAATGAGAAAATGATGAAAGCTGCTTGCACTCTGTAACCACAATAGTTTTCTGAACCACAACTCTTACCATCTATATAGAAAATCATTCCAGCTTGAAGCCCTTTAGAAACTTTTGTTCTGTTTTCTAGAAAAAAAATAAAGTGGGAGTCAACAGACACCTCCTCTTTCTCCACCTCCTTGTCCTTCTCCGCTCACAGGTGACCTGTGACAGGTCCCCCCATGACTGTGCACCTGACAGGAACAGTTGCGCTCTCGGGCGCAGCATCATCTCCTCTGGTGCTCCACACATTTGCACTGCTACGGTTACTGCAGCTATTAATAGTTAATGTCAGCATTAATGCCATTACTGACAGAGACCTAGTCCAGCCTAGCTCACAGAAGGAATTCGGTCAGTTCAGTGCTTGCCAGGGTGGGACCGTTAGCAGGACTGTGTAAGATGCCTCTGACTACAGGAATATGGCATCTGCAGAAACCTACATGTCCCAACATCTATCTTTTTTCTATATCTCTGTTCATGCATCTGCTTCTGCGGAAAGTATAAATATATACTTGGTAAAAATCAAAGTGTTTTTATTTTTAATTAATTGAGATGTGTTTTTCAAGCAGAGCTAGGTTTCGTGACAATGTAAAGCAATGCAAGAAAGCAGAAAGAAGAGATCACTTTGTCCTTGTAACTCCTCGCAGCACAAAATAATTTTTTTTCCATGGTTAAATACAGCCATTAGAAAAAATTGTATGTAATGCTGCCAGATTTGCAATGCAGAAGGCAGGCATCAGCTGGTAGCATATTGCTCAAGACGCGGCATATAAAAGATTTAATAGAGTCCCAGATACCCTGAACATTCAGCTGCTGCCAAATGGTTTGTATACAGCTGCCTTTGCTTTTACTGCATTAAAGGCATGAGGGCTGGATGTTACATTTGCTATTCAGGACGTGAGCTGTGCACTTGCGTCTCCCACTTGCACGCCACGGCAGAGGGCCCGGGGCAGCGCCAGGGCCTGGGCTGGCAGCAGAGCTGGCCGACTCGCTCCGTCTGGAGCAATCTAGGTCCTGCTCAACAGCCACACTATTTTGTCAGTTTAGAGAAGAGCAACAAGCATTATCAAAATATTATTACTTCAAAAAGTAACAGGAGGAGAAACCTGCCTCTTGGCTTTGAGACACTTACCTTGTGTAAGGTAAGAGCTGGCACCAAACCGTGCTATCAGCACCTGAACCACCAGCCAACATTTCTAAACACACAATCTTCCTTGTCCGTGGCTACTGCCATAGGGCAGTGAGAGCCTTGCCTGGCACCTATGGCTGCTGGCACCTATGGCTGCTGGCACAGGAGCAGCGCGAGCAGACACACAACCTCAGCCAGAGCAGACGGGATGTCAGAAACAGGGAAACGCGGCAGAGCAAACCCTGCTCACCTGGGTTTCCTTTGGAGCCTGGAAACCAGAGGAGGAGGAGGAGGAGAGGGAGGAGCAGAAGGAGAAGGAGGAAGAGGAGGAGGAGCACAGCTGCTGGCTTCAATCTGCTCCTCAAAGTTGAGGAGTGAAACCCAGGCCAGAACAGGGGCTGAAGCTGCTGCTGCCTGGGGAGCCGCCATGAGCTGCTTCCACCAGCTCCAATCGATCAGGAACAGCACTAAGAGTTGTAAATGTCAGATCACAACTAACACTTAATTAAATTATTAATTATTAAAAATAAAGGGAATTAAAATTAATGCTGGGACTAAATCAGTGGGATGTGTGGGATGAGGGACTTTTACTTACACCTTTGGCTGGTTCATCTGAGCCACGGCTGGAAGTTGCCTGTGGAAGAACCTTGCTCTGTCAGTCAGAAGACCAAGCACCACTTGCACTCTCACAAAAAATGTATCTTAAGAATTAAATTGAAAATGTCAATGGAATTTATCTCAGACTGTGGAAGGTCAAAACATCCTCTGTCATACAGAGGATGAAGTGGCAAAAGCAGAGACAAAGTCTATAAATTTCCAGGAATTATTTGACTCCCTTGTATTACTTACTAAGCTGTTTCTACAAAATATATTTCCATTTTCCACCCTACCTTGGCAGAGGGTGGAATGGAAATAGCAGGAAACCAGGGATTTGGGGTATCCAGGAGATTCAGAAATTATGCTAAGTTTTGCTACTTTCTTTTTGTTTTTGCTCTTCTTAATTCAGCACACCTAGCTGCGTGTATACCTTTATAAACTTCTCAGTGCAACTTACTTGCTATCTCTTAGGCTCAACTTTTCTCCTTGAGCAGTTCTGTAACGTTTTTCCTGCTGATTCTGAATGAATCCAGTGTGCTAAAATCCTCGCTCAGATTAAAGGTCACTCACTCATCTAACAGCATGGCCCGACTTATCTCTAACTAATTACAAGGAGGCAGCCCAATTTGTCTGCAGGCTCGACAAAAGCCAGCCGGGCAGTGCCCAGGGGCGATTGTACCGAGATGAATATCAGCTGAGTATCAGCTCTGCAAAGATTATTTTTCCTTTCTGCAAAGGCAGATGTCATTCCAAATTAAAGATACAGGGATGCTGGCCCCTGAAGGATATTATTGTCACATCTGATGCACACACCCACAGCTGGGCATTAGAGACCTTCCTTTTGAAATGCGAGTGGGAGATTTTCCTTCTGAGCGTTGCACGGGTGTGAAAGGCCAGCCCAGCGCATGGGCATCCTACAAGCAGGGGGGCTCTGCTGCTATCCATCCCGCGTGGGCCCGGCCCGGCCTCCCGGTGAAGCAGCCGGGCCAGCGCAGGACCG